CACAAGCAAATGCTGAAATCGAAAGACAGATGAGAAATCTAAACAAAGTAATTAAAATTTCTTATGCGCAAGGAGGAAATTTAGAGGAGGAACTTAACAAATTCCTAACAGCGTATCGTACAACACCTCATGGGACTACTGGAAAAGCCCCAGATGAGATGTTATTCAAGAGACGTCTTCGCACAAAGATACCTGAATTGGTTCCTTTTGATAAATGTGATGAAGAAGTACGTGATAGGGATGCAGTTCTCAAACAGAAAGGAAAGGAATATGCGGATGACAAGAAGAATGCAAAATATCCTGACCTCAAAGTTAATGATAAAGTTCTACTGCAGCAGCGTAAAACGTGTAAGACAACAACTATGTATGAACATGATCCTTACGAGATCGTTGACGTGAATGGTTCACAAGTGACAATCAAATCAGGTGAAGGTGTTTGCTACAAACGCAATTCTTCACACGTTAGAAAATTTGAAGAATCAGATTTACCATCGGGAAATGAACATATTGACGAGTCGGAACATTTCAAAGAACCGGACACTAATGAACAAGTGATAGATAAATCGTTGGTCGTTGCTGAACCAAGACGTTCATCCAGAAGTACAAAAGGAAGAGCTCCAGAGAGACTTGATTTATGAAGAGGCATCGTAACGATAAGTACAAACAGTATATATTAGACATTAAGATTATCAATTAGAAGTTAAAAATAATTGTTCTAAAACATTGTCTTTTGCGAACAGTTAGACATACTTAACAGTTAGATACACTTAACAATTTTAATTATAAAAAAAAAATTAGAAGAAAAAAAGGGATATAGTGTTTAGAGATAATGTACAGTTAATATATGCATAATAGATTAGTATGGATAGTTAGGTATAAATATGGATCGTAGAAGTCGGCCATATTGATTATTGTACTTCAGTAACACATGTACAAGTTAGTAAGTTTTTCTGGTTGAAATATAAATCTCTTATAAGAAAGAGACACTAAACACCTCATGGGACTACTGGAAAAGCCCCAGATGAGATGTTATTCAAGAGACGTCTTCGCACAAAGATACCTGAATTGGTTCCTTTTGATAAATGTGATGAAGAAGTACGTGATAGGGATGCAGTTCTCAAACAGAAAGGAAAGGAATATGCGGATGACAAGCGAATGCGAATAATAGATCAGTGAGCGAGCTTTTAGAATACGGGCGATAGTCATAACCTTTCACTTATATTATAGTCACCCAGATACAGATTTTTCGTCCTTTTTATTTGGTCATAAATACATGCGCGTGTTAACATTTAACCTTTTACTGCATGTACAGGCTAATATATATATTTTATACCTTCTACTGAAATTGGCTAGCAGTATTAATGCAAAGTTTTATATTCTAAGCGAGCATCAGGTCAGGTTTAATTATAATTTCGTTTGCAAGGGCAATGTGGTATTTGATTAGGTACGTAGAAGCCGGACTTACCCGGTTAGCGGAAACAGACCGGTAACAATTGTAAACTATATGAGAATATTTTATCCAGCTTCACATAATTTTTTTTGTTTTAACGTTTCAAAACAGCTTGCGGCGGCATTTCTGAACTCTCATTCCATAAATTCCATTTTCATCCAAATAAGCTTCTACTACAAAAACAACTGTGGAACAAGATCCCTCCAGACGTACAGTGTTTCCCGTTGATTGGGCTAGTCTGGCTTCCGATACATATAAACAGCACCTAAGTCACGTCAAGTTTAACATAGACGCAGGAAATATCGCTTGCACTATAAGCTGATTGGACAGATTGCATTTTCAAATTTTCTACTGCAGCTTCAGTCAAATGAAGCTACTTATTGATTTGGAAAAGAGGGTAATTATAATTTAGAATACCATAAGCTTTCACAAACAATTTCGTAACTATAGCAAAGGGAAGAGATTTGCATGTGGCCTAACCAGCTCGCACGAGACAATGATATACCTGCTTGCCCCTTGTTTGGAACAAAATGAAGTAATGAAAAATAATAAAATTAAAATTGCATGGGTTACAAAGTTGCTGAATAATAAATGTTCTGTATACTTATCATTCGGAATAACCGGGTACTCTCGTATCCAGATTTTGTTCGCATCTCACTCGATTGAATAATAGTTGAAACGTATTGTAGATGGAAATTATGGAGTGGAAATTTATATACATTTATTAGACCTAGTCAGGCCGGAATCGAACCAGCGGCCCATGCAACTGAGTTGGCAAAGGCTGCAGTTTTCGAGCTCTAACCTTGAATTTTTGTACATATTTTTGGGCCTTAATCTATATTGTTATTATATTTTTAATATTCAGTGCTTTTTCACATGAGAAGACTGGGACTAAGCATTTTGGAGGCGGAGCGGAGGTCTTGCGGTTATCTTGCTTTTGCCTATCCAGCCGAAGTTATACAAGATTTAAAATGCCATAAATTTTTATTTTGTGCAAATTTTGCATGCACTATTTTTCCAACTTTGAGCTAGGATAACGAGAAACTGACCGGTAAATGAAATATAACCGTTTTATGATCTATATTTTAGTGTTTCTAAGCTTTCCAATAATGTACATTGACCTAAAAATGATTTCAAAATTTGAACATTCTGTCCACAATGGTTTTCTAGAGGTAGAAGTAAGAAAAACTCGATTTTCGCCATGTTCCACAGAAGGAATTTTGGGGGATTTTTAGCATGTTAATCAGCTAGGACACCTTCCCTCACATTTTAGTACTGAAAAAAATTCTAGTGCAATTTCTTTTACCTCTGGTCACAGATTGACTGGACTAATTGTTTACAAATGGTATATAACAATAATGTCAAATTCCCCATTCCCGGAATTCGCAAGTATAGTTATTCAAAGCAAGACACTAGACTGTCTTGCGAATAAAATAATTATTTCGAGTATAAATCAGTGTACAAAATTGTTGTAACTTTAAAGATGTTTAATAGAATTTAACGCGACTCACATTTATAAACTAATAATAGGTCAGTTTAGTCATAAAATGTTTTTATAGTTAATTTAGTAACTACTGCATGGATGGTATAAATCGATTTAGTTGTTGGTTTCTGATCAAGAAGTTGTGGGGCTAATTTGAGAGCTTGTGAAATCGACTAGGCTTTTATTCGAGGAAAATATCATGGCGATACTTACCAAATGCTAGTCCAAAATTCACCAAACATGCCAAAGCCAGCCGAGTAAAGGCCTAGGTCTAGGCTGATGTTTAATATAATTGTTTATCTTTCGTAATACCGACTGGGGGTTAAACATGATTTCTTAGCTAAAAATAAATAGTTGAAATATTTTAAAATAAACAATCACAACTTATCTCAAATCTAATTCGCCACAATAGAGCTTTTTAGGAATTTAATTAAACATCGCGTGCAAAAAATAAGTAAGCTATTTACCGTTCATGTCGGAACCGTACTAAAAAATATTTTCCCTCGGTCTCAGAAGCGTTCCTCGACATTAGGTCTCGGGTCGCTTCTGAGACCTCCTGAAATTATTATTATTATTATCATTATTATTATTGGAATTATACACCGCAGGGCTTTAATTTCAATACTTAATTATAAATGATGATACTTCAATACGGCCCTCCCAACCGGTAAATAACATATATTTCTATGCGTATATATCGACTTGTTATTTATTCCACTTGAATATTGTGAATTAATTTTGATTTGGAATGCAATTAGATTACTGTACCATTTCGTGTCAGCTCAGAGAACAACTGAAAATAAATTTAATTTGTAAAATATTCATCTCCTGCTTCCGATGTAAGACAACGAATCAGAATCAAAGCCGCAATAACACTGACGCTTACAACGGGGGATCAGACATATTAAAATTAATGAGCACATTTCAATTCCATATCATTTCCTTACAAGCTGTGGAACACAAACAATGGCGTTTATAAAGAAGATAACAGTTTGTGTTTTAATTCTTGCTCTTTACGCCGTATTTTTTCACGTAGAAGCGAATGAATGCTATTCCGACTATAGCTGTCCGTCTTCACAATATTGCTGTTCAAAAAAATATTCTTTTCAATGGAATATTTGTTCGTACAGTTGCGTTGGTTTGTCTTGTAGCTACGATAGCAACTGCGCACCGGGTGAATCTTGTTGTGAATCTAATGATAAATGTGCCTTAAATTGTATTGGAGAATCGTGTAGCTACAATAGCGACTGCGCATCTGGTGAATCTTGTTGTGAATCTAATGACAAATGTGCCTTAAATTGTATTGGAAAATTTTGTAGCTACGACAGCGACTGCGGATCGGGTGAATCTTGTTGTCAATCGAATTATAAATGTGCCTTCAATTGTATTGGAGAATCATGTAGCTACGATAGCGACTGTGCATCGGGGGAATCTTGTTGTCATTCTGATGGCGTGTGTAAAACTGGAGGATGTAACAAGAGTAAAGGTTGGCCTGGTTGGCTTTTTGCAATAATTATCATTACCACTGTTGGTTCGTTCATCCTTTTCCTAGCCTGTGTGATATACCGCCGTTGTTACGCGCCCTCGAGACGACGTGCTCTTGGAGGTGTTATTGTAGTACAACCTATGAACACTGGAGCTACAGTCTTTGCACCCCAACAGAAACACTATGGAATACAGCAACAAGGCCAACCAATGTTCCAATGCTCTCAACCTCAAGGAACAGCCTGGCCACCACCAGGGCGACATGCAACGACACCAACTTACTGAAGTAAAGCAACAATTTGAAACTGAAACGGATTCTGCAAGACTGTGTCTGCACTTGCTTCAATGCACTCACTTGAATATGCACTCGCTTCAATATGGACACACACACTCGCTTCAATTGAAAGATAGGACGAACATTTTACCTAACCTATAGGTCTATAGAAAAATAGACATACACATGAAGAGACATTGTTTTGGAACATGTAGACTTTGTACTGTTTTTGTATAGCGTAAACTTGATTTGGTATTTCATTAAATATTTTTAGATCACTTACAAAAATGTTCGTTTCATGAATATTATGTCACCGCGAATTTTCTTGGAATGTATCGCAGATCTAGGGCTAAAACACACAGTTATAACCCTTCACAGTTTCACTAATTTCATCAGTTACCCATGCACAGATTCAGATTGATTTTTCTTCCTTTCAATTCAGACATGCATGCATGTATAGGCTAACATTTTACCTTTTATACTGAAATTGCCTTGGCTATAGTACACTCTAAAAACACCCTGGTTAAAAAATCCGGGTTCAATGAATTTCAACCACAAATGGGTTAAACATACTTCAATCGACCAGGATTTTGGTTGACTTACTGATTCAGTTTTTGTCTAACATCACTTTACCAGGATTCCTGGTCAAGAGAAAAATCAAAATGGCGGCACACATTTTTTCGGCGGGTAAATAGTTAAAATTTGTTTATAATTTGCGTTGATAGCACTTTCAAGACAAAAATAAAATATAGAGGACATTATTGGATATTGAAAAAGTTTTTAATCATTTTGAGAAGATTCCAACAATTCGCAAACACCATAAAGTCAATGCCAATAAGTGTAAGGAGTGGCATTGTTAATAATACGCGTGAAGAGCCCGGAGTGGTCTATACCGACGCATTTGTCTGGACAAAAGCCGTTATGAGTTATTAATGATAATATTAAAAATACTTACGAATTAGAATTAACATTGTGATGTAAAATATTAGTACGTTTATGAATTTAGATTTTTAATACGAAATTTTGACTAAACCCATTGAAGAGAACTATCAAGTTATGTTAATTTATGTTCTGTGCATACTGCCACCTATAGCTTTGTTCCCACATAAAAATGTTTTTAAAAGTGACAAAATAATTGCCTATTACTGTAACCAATGTACTACTGTAATTGATAACAAAAATATTATTTTATATTCTTATATTAGGTTTTATATGGATTACTAGATTGCATTAAAAAGTACTGTACCATATAGTACACTAGCTGAGCTGCTGACTGAGCATCAATCAAGGTCGATAGTTTACTGGAAATTAATACATGCAATAAGACACATTAACAAAATACAGCTACAACACATTATTCACTCTTGCTGCAATGCAGTGCTTTTTTTACATATGTACCCTACTTAATTTGCCTTAGTAGCACCACATGTCTCCCAAAATTGTGTACTTAATGACAATTTTACTTCCCCAAAGGAGAAAAACATTGTTCACTTGGTAGGTTTAAACTTCTTATACCTTAATTATCCTTGAGCAAAGCAACTTCAAATACATAGTCAAGTGACTTTGTTGTGAAAGCATACACTATATAGCTTTTTTTGTCAATTTACTAACCTAAAGATGTTTGGTGAAAATTTTTTGACTATAATTATTTACTTTAATATCAGTTGGGAATTCTTAAATATTGTACATTAAAATGTTCTTAAAAATCAGTTTACTTTATTATGTGATGCATGAATTTGCATCAGCTATACTGTTTTATAAAAAATATTGTTCAGTGTTGATAAATGTGGTGACAATATGAATAAAAAAGTAGAGTATGTGGATCAATTTCATTGTTAACAATACAATTTTATGAGACAATGTTCACTCCTGCAGGGGCTGAATCTCACAAGGCGCCACCATAACTTTTAGAGTCTGTAGATAGCCGGAAACTGCAGTTTCTCCACAACTCCAAGCATCTATCAACATGATGCAAAGGTCTACCAGCCTGGCAGCTTCCATGTAGACATTCAGTCATACAGCCATACAATGCAACAGACACACATTAAATTTAGCAATGCTTGCCATTTTTTTTTGGGGGGGGGGTAAGGCCCCCCATTAGGGACCGGTCATTATTTAGGCAGAGGTGGGGGCCGAAGAGAAAATGGTGGGGTAACTGAAAAATAATACTTGCTTTAGGTGGGGTGGCCAAAAAATCCTTGCATGCAGAGGTGGGGTAAAAAAAATACCATACTTTAATCACACACAATACAATATATACTACTAACAGAGTTTAATATGTGATTATTCTATTTTTTTAATAAAATATTATTGCTTTCCAAAATGTTGACAGAAACACCCCCTCGGCCCACCCGTAAGGGGTCATTTTATTCATTTACACACAAAATCTCCAAATACTCCAATTCAGTGCTCACACTTTTTAGGGAAATTTCCTTAAAAAAGACCATCACTGTGGGGGGAGGGGACAGTATTAATAGTATATATTATACAATCTTTTCAAAAGTTCTTTGTGTCTCTCATTGTTCTAATCCCCTCCCCCGGTGAGGACAGGGCTATGCAAATAAGTTGTGAGAGCCCTGCTCCAATTATCAGACAAAATATATACTGCCTATATTTAGGGGCTGTTTATATGGTGCAACTGCAAACCAACCCTGGGGTACCCAAGCTGGCCACGTTTTGGCGAGATCCTGCCTTTGTTGTTATTTCCTACTAAAGTTCACCTTGTGTATATATGGGTAAAGAGCGGGCCCAGCTATAGCTAAGCGAGATTCCGCCCCTTTAATAGCCCGAGATCTTGCTAAAGCTGGGCGAAAATTTGCCTCAGGAAAAGTGACCTACTGTAGCCCCTAACCCTAGGTATCCAGGCTCACCTCCATATAAACATCCCCTTATTACATATCTCAAAAAATATATGTACAGTCTATTAAATTTTCAGGATTTAATTTTTGGGCATCTACACTTGATACTGTATAACTAATATTTATATCAGGTATGTGCTTGTATACCATGTGGACAATTCAGGTAGCAAATCCTGAAATATGCCCCATGCCCCTTGTGATTCTGGAGAATCATTCCAATGGCTAGTTCATAATATGTTCAGTTCAAATATTGTTCTGAGTCTTTGGCAACTAGCTGTTTTTCTTTACTAGCAGACCATCAGTATACATGGATAAAATAAGAGAAATTTATTTACCCGTTATACAGATTAATTTAATTAATTGTTTATAAAATCATACTTGGAATTTGGATGATATATCGTTATCTTCACACTGTATAACAGCAACTTTTTCTCATTAATTTACAGTAACATTTTCTAAATTCAGATATTCTCACATGGGACATATTATACTTTAGTATCGTTGTATTGTTTACAAATTTAAAAAATATTTTAAAAATTGATTTCATAAACTTCAAGAATTCCGTGGGAATTCTTAAGGAATTCCTTTAAAATTCCGTGATAATTACATGTGATTGTCTATAGTAAGGAAATTTTAAAGGAATTTCAGAAATTTTAGAATTTAGATAGTTGCAATCATATTGGGTGAGCACATATTCTGTTACACTATTTCGAAACAAAATTGCATTCTAATCAAATTAATAAAAAAATGCAAGAATATGAAAGAAACCAAATTGTATACAGTAAAACTTTAAAGTGGGAAAGAGATAGGGTGGTGAGATACGGTTAGTGTTCTAAAATCTTGAAATATATACACTGACAGTCACTGTACAGGTTTTATATCAGTAGTTAATATATGTTTATGGGACTAGCATTGCACTATCTCCTGAAAAGGGAATATAGCGTTGAATACAAACTATAAAAACCCAATCACATTTCAATTTAACAATTGGACCTTGATGAGTAATATGCATACAAAATACTAAACTGTTTCATTACATATTTATGTCTGGACCTTTGACGTTGCAATAAAATAGGTTCGGGTGGGGTAAAAGTTTTTTCCAGCATTCCACCGGTGGGGTAGCTAGAAATTCTGTTTCGGGAAAGGTGGGGTAATGATTTTTTTTGGCGGCATTATACTTTCTCTTCGGCCCCCACCCCTGCCATAAATAATGACCGGTCCCTTAACAATTTGGGGGGGCTGAAGCCCCCAGCCCCCCACTTCCTACGCCTCTGGCCTCTGCATTCCTGGTCCTTAACCTTGCCTAAAAGCAAATTGGATTTACTTTTTCATGAAGAATGTTTCAAAAATAGAATGATTGACAAATATTTCCCCAATGGGCATATTCTTATGTAATGTCTAATAAAATGATCATTAATTAATTAATTTTTGAAATGAAGGATTTGTATTGCAGTTCTTATATGTCATATTAAATTCAGGAATACAAAATCATTTTGCCTAAGAGAGACATGGTTACAATAATAATCATAATACATTAGTATAATGATAATGCTGCAGTTTGATTGGTTGAGACGAGTTCGATTTTGAGCTTGTAAATGCCCCAATTGTTAGCCAATCAGACTGAAGTTCTACATGAAGAGACACAAGCAGCTTTCTACAATTTTTATTTTATTTGGACATGAAAGTTTGAAGTACTATGTGTGCATGTGACAATGTCCAGAATGGGCCATTCCATTAATATAGGCACCCCGCTGATATTGAGGGATCACCTTTTAACCACTTTAGGATATAAAAATCGTAGGGTCAACCCCTCTTCGATGGAAATAGTTGTGCCCTCCTAGGATATCACCACTATAGCCCCGTAGGATATTGTTAATGCACCAGTCAATGTAAATCCCCACCCCATTTAACCTCGAGGAACTAGCAATTAGGCATTCCAGGCCAGGACAAATGCCTATGATTGAAAATTCATAATTTCTCTTTAGATGGGGAATACACTCATTGCTTCCTTGCATCACAAGCCAGGATAAAGGCGGGACATTTAGTGTTGGTTAATTAAGAGCCTGGGGAAAAGTTAACTTGATATATCTTGCAAGAGAAATATATAAACCATGCAGGGACATATGCAGGGACAATGGACTATGTTCTTTGTCTCGGGTGCGAGAATGACAGCTAAATGTGCTTGCAATGCTTTAGAATCCAAATTCCTGCATTTCCCTGGTTGGGTGGGGTGGGGATTTACATTGACTGGTGCATAATTCCCCTTTGGATATCATGAATTTTTGGATTTCTTCCTAGGATTTCCCATTTTTTTCAAAAATTTCCTAACCTCCCCACTAAGAAAATTTAGATTAAAAGAGTCCCTTCCCCATTGGATATCCAGATCCATCAACAGGGAGTGCCTATATTATATGGAATGGCCCAAAAATGCTTGCACTATATTTTCTAACAAAAGAAAAATAATATCGACTGATAATGATATAATGTATTGAAATGGGCTTTGAATGGGGCATACCCCCCTGTCTAGGAACCGCTTTCTCACTTCGGTACTCCCATGGAATTTCCACAAATTTTCATGTAATATATATACCCCCTCCCATGGAATGTCCTTGTAAAAATTACTTTTGCCCATGGAATTTCCATTTTAAATTAGGCCTTCCCATGGAATTTTCATATAAAATTTGGGCCTCGTCATGGAATTTCCATGTGTAAATTACCCCTCCCTATGGAATTTCCATCATGGGACATTTATTTCCGGAAATTTCCCTCTAAAATATGTCTTCGCATGGAATTCCCATCCCTTGAAATTTATACCCCTCCGTCTGGAAATTTCATGTGAGAATTACTCCTTCCCTAGTATCCCCTGGAAATTCCATGGTTAATGTGCCCTCTCCCCTGGAAATTCCAAGGTTCCTCAACAGGGGCGATGCAGATAATAATTGGGATAGCCCAATGGGGAAAATGTTTGGAAACATTGTTTTTGACTTCATGTTGTGAGTTGTGTCGATGTTTGAAAGCATTACAATGATCCTTGATTTAAATACTTGAAAATGGTATAAAAGTGTAAAACTTACCATCATAGCGTTTAAATCTTGGATAGATGTTTTAATACAAATACAAATCGTGAATTTACAAGATATTTTATACTTGTCTTGTTGCTATGCCACCAAATATGGGAGTGGCAATGGTGTGCTATATTTTAATTAAAACTGCTTTCCCTTTCCACAATTCTGCGCGATCGTGAAATTTTGCAGTCACGCCTTTGATTTCCAACCATATTTAACTCCACTCTGTCAATTACCATTATTAATAACAATAGAATAAAAAAATAAGGTATATATTTTTCCAATTGTTCCCACAGCTGTAAGGGGTTTGAATGACAAATAACATTTAAAGTCTATTCTAACACATATTGATTATCAGATTTTCTTCAATATTTGTCAATTTGCTCTTGGGTCCGCTGTACTATCCGCTTCTGGTTTCCCGCCTTTTTATATTTTTTTCGCTTGTTGAAAACTGTGCAAAGTATAAAGTTGCGGCTTTTTAAGAGTATTATGGACAGTTTTGTCAAAAAAAAACTTGACGAGTGGAATCTCTCCTGCCTGACAAATGTTTTTGAAGGTAAGTTCATGCTCTTAACAATGTATTGTTTCATTTCAAAGTTTTTTTTGTTGTTTAATTAAACGGAGGTAAAAAAATTCCCACTCGACTTCAGCGGACTTCGCTGTGCATGAATTAAACTACATCTTCTTGTCGCTTTAAAGTCATTCAATATATAAACACTAGCATTTTCTCTAGATAATATGATCGATGAAGAAGCATTTTTACTGCTGAACCAAGACGCCTTAAAAGAGATGGAAATACCTGTTGGACCGCGTATCAAACTGCAAAAAAAGTTAAAAGAATTTCAGGTGTGTTAATGTTAACTTTAAAAAAATAGTATAGTTTAAGAAAGTAAGTGCAGTATATTTCTATATTACATGTGTATTTTGTACATATATCTGTAATTCTTTAAATATAGATCGATATAGACATAGTTTATTGGTCTTTATTGTTATTTAAAAATAGCAATATATGTATAAAGCCATAATATAAAGCATGTTTCATGAAAACAAATGTTTTGTGCAATTACACATTGTAGCTAGCTTTCAATTTGTTGAAAACATACAGCAATATAAATTGCTATGAGAATTTTCTGGTATA